GTCTCCACGGCCCCAATTTTTGAGTCAGGACCCCCTTTGCGTACCCCAGCTTTTCATCAACGTACAGTTCAAACGGTTTTGTTAGATCAGGCAGGCCAAGAGCCGGTGCTTCCAACAGGGCCTTCTTTATGCTATCGAAGGCCTGTTGGTGGCGGTCTTCCCAATGAAAGGTTCATCTGTCTTGGTTAAGAGGTACAGGGGGGCTGCCATTTCCGCGAACCCTGGAATCCATAGGCAACAGAACCCGGCAGTCCCCAAAAATTCTCTCACCTGTCTGTGATCACGAGGTGTCGGGATGCTCAAGATGGTCTCCTGGTGGGCTTGTGTCAGCCATCTCTGCCCTCCATTCAGTCGGTACCCCAAATAGGTTACCTCTCGTTGGCAGAGCTGCGCCTTCTTTGCAGAGGCCCTGTAGCCCATCCGCCCCAGTTCTTGCAAAAGAGCCTCCGTACCTGTTAGGCACTCTTCCTGTGTCTCCGCCGCCAGCAAAATGTCATCTACATATTGTAACAAAATCAGGTGGGGGTGGAGGGTCCTGAAAGCAGTCAGATCTTGGTGCAGGGCCTCATCAAAGAGGGTGGGGCTGTTCTTGAACTCCTGTGGCAGCCGTGTCCAAGTAAGTTGACCGGAGATCCCCAGATCGGAGTCCTTCCATTCGAAGGCGAACAGGGGCTGACTCTGGTGGTGCAGCTTTAGACAGAAGAAGGCATCTTTCAGGTCCAATACAGTGTACCAGGTATGGCTGGTAGACAGGGGGCTCAATAAGTTATAGGGATTTGGGACTGTGGGGTGGATATCCTCCACCCACTTGTTTATCTCTCTCAGGTCCTGTACTGGCCTATAGTCCCCGCTCCCTGGTTTCTTGACAGGCAGCAGGGGCGTGTTCCAGGCCGACCAACATGGGATTAATATCCCTTGTTCTAATAGTTTTTTGATATGCGGCCTAATTCCTTGGCGAGCCTCGGTCACCATGGGATATTGTTTGACAGCTACTGGGGCCGCGGTGGCCTTCAGTTC